CCTGCTTGTCGCGCATACTCGAGGACGGCTCTGAGCGTACGCGTCCGTCCGCTGTCGAATTCTGCGATTACTGGCGTCCCCTTATGGAGGCGTCCAGTGTTGCGAATGGTGATATGACGGGGCTACGTGAGCTGTACGGAGAGGCGACACAGGAGGCGGGTGCCAGCCGGAGCCATCCATCGAGAGGCATCCATCTGGAGGGCCTCGGTGAGGGCGCCGCCGCGAACCCAGGTTTAGCGGCGGATAAGACCTCGCTCTGGGATCCTATTCTAGCGACCGAGGTTGCGAGGATCTCCGTAAGGAATGGCACCGCGCCCGGATTGGATGGCATTACGCCGAGGGCTTGGAACGCAGTTCCAGTGGGCCTTCGCGCGCTTGTCTTCAATCTGCTGCTCTTGGCAGAGACGGCACCCTTGTCGATCACCACGACTAGAACGGTGTTTCTGGAAAAGGGCGGGATGTCCGATAGGCCTGGGCCGTCGGAATATCGACCCCTGAGTATAGGCTCCGTGATCATAAGACATCTGCATAAGATCCTGGCAAAACGTCTGGCGGCCCTTGACATCTTCGACGCCCGCCAAAGGGGTTTCCGGCCGGTGGACGGGGTCTGTGAGAATATCACAGTACTCTCCTCCGTGCTCGGCGACGCCCGGAGACGGTGTAAGTCGTTGCATGTCGCATGCGTGGACCTGTCGAAAGCCTTCGACACGGTGTCGCACGCTGCGATCCATCGCACCCTCGAGGAGCTTGGTCTCCCGAGGGAATTCCGCGATTACGTCAGGGCCATATACGCAGAGGCACGAACTGTGTTACAGCCGACTGGACGCCAAAGGATGTCGCCCATTCACGTGGGACGTGGTGTGAGGCAGGGTGATCCGCTGTCGCCCCTACTGTTCAATCTGGTCGTAGATCGGGCACTAGGAATTCTCTCGGAGGATGTGGGTTATAGACTGGAATCGAGGCTGATCAACGCATTAGGCTACGCAGACGACATTGTGCTCCTGTCCTCTACCAAGATCGGACTGCAGGAGAATTTGACGCGGCTTCATGCCGCCTTTTTGCAAAATGGGCTCACGATAAACGCAAATAAAACCGGCGTGCTCTCAATGGTAGCGTCTGGCAGAGACAAGAAGGTGAAGATTGACATGACACCTTACTTCACCGTGGGGGGAGCGCTGATACCGCAGAGATCCCCAGTCGATGTCTGGACCTATTTAGGGGGCATGTATCAAGGTGCTAGGGAATACGCGAGCGTCCCTCCTCTAGCCAACTCCATCAGGCATATAACAAAGGCACCTCTGAAGCCGCAACAGCGGCTGAGGTTGCTCAGGGATTGTCTCCTGCCTCGGTATTATCACCGATGGATCATAGGGACAATCACCTCAAAGATATTAAAGGAGATGGACGTGCTGCTACGCGCTGCGGTGCGTCGGTGGCTGCGATTGCCCCATGATGTGCCTGCTGGCTACTTCCATGCGCCGATACAGAGTGGCGGGCTTGGCATGCCTCTGCTCAAAACCTTTATCCCTATTCTGAAACATAACCGACTGCAGCGGTTGTGCCGGAGCACTCTGCCCGCGGCGTGCGCCGCTGCCGAAACCACATACGTGGCTAGGCAGATGGTATGGTGTGACAACCAGATGCGCGTCCGTGGAAACAGAGTCACCACAACCGCCGAGCTCAGGCAGCAGTGCGCTGCATGGTTGTGCGAGTCGTGCGATGGGGGCGGACTCAGGGAGGTCGGTTCGTCCAAACTGAGTTCGCATTGGGTCTCAGCTGGTGCTGATGCCATACCCGGGGCCGACTACGTGCATTATCACCACGTACGGATTAACAGCCTTCCGTCAAGAGCGAGGGTCTCCCGAGGTCGTGATGGGCGCAATGTTCGCTGTCGCGCGGGTTGTCCCGATATGGAGACGCCAGCGCACTGCGTTCAGCGTTGCTTCAGAACGCACGGAGGGAGAATCCTGCGACACAACGACCTGTGTCGTAAAGTCGGTGGTTTCCTACAACAGAAGGGATGGCAAGTCGATGCGGAACTAGCGTACTCGACCTCTGCCGGCAGAAGGCGGCCCGACCTGACCATTGTCAAGAATGGTGAAGCAGTGGTCGTTGACGCGCAGGTGGTTTCCAGCGAAACCGCGTTGAGTGTGTCCCACGAGCGGAAGGTGGAGAAGTACCGGTCGAATGATGATCTAGCGGACCGGGTAGCGGAACACGCAGGAGTGCCGCGTAATAATGTACGTTTCACCGCCATTACAATATCATGGCGAGGAATCTGGAGCTCTCAGAGCGAACGCGAAATGCGTGCCCTCGGCCTAACATCCGGCCAGCTTCGCTCTTTAACCACAAGAGTCCTTTGAGGCTCATGGATGAACTGGCGGAGATTCAACGAATTACATCTCGTTACAGTGTCAGATGGAGGCCAACATCGACGGTGGTGCGTAACTGCCGGTATTCGCTGGCTCCCCCGCACAAGCCCCGGCAGTGTGAATGCTTGATGATTGTGTGTTGCTACTTAGTAAGGGTGAGAGCTGCCGGTCAGCTCCTATGTAGCACTATCCAAGGTGTACTGTGCTAGAAAACACCATATAGTAAAGTAATATTGCCTTGCAATATCAGAGTCCTGCGAGGGCGGCCCGCGCATATATTGCGGGTCGCACAGCACATTCTGACACAAATAGCCAAATGCCTCGTCATGTAATTAGTGACGCGCATGAATGGATTAATATTTCCACTGTCCCTATCTACTCTCTCCCGTGGTGCATCACCTTGTCGTGGTGGGACTTGCGAGCCTCGATGATCCTTGAAGCCATGCCGGCGGGGGTTAATCCCCTGACCTTTTGACCCACCACTCTCGTGGGAACAATATGAAGAAACTGAAATTAAAAGCAAACAATTTAAAACCAAAATCAAATGCAAAACCTAAGACGACTACGCCAGACATATCGGAACATGTTAAGGATCCTTTTGCAAAGAGGGGTTCAGTCCATCGATCTCTTCCAACAATTCGCAGAGCTTCAAAAAATTCAAAAAATTCAATAGAATCGACTCTTACTTCTGAAGTTGTGGATACTGATGAATATTTTTACTCTTCCAGCTAGCGATAATCCAGATCGATAGCCGCTCTCTGATGCTGTGCTATCCGAGATTAATATTGACGAATTTAGTACAACTACGAGACGACTCATGAGCCAGAGGCAATAAGTTCAAGTATTGTAGTGATAATGTCCGAGCTGAAAGAGTCAAATTGGAATAATTTCTCTTTAATGAAAACAATAAAATTTCTAAAAGTGCCATAAAGTACATTCTTTCAAAGTAGATGGTCCTAGAAGGTAAACTGCAAGAAGAAATCTCTGAGAGAGAAAAGCTGTTGAATACTTATCAGATATGTCAGAGGAGTCCTGCGATGTCCTATTCTCAGGTTGCCGCTGCGGGTCCCTCATGGCCTGGTCCTATGGTCCTGTAACAGAAAAAGAAAAATTAGTAAGGAAACATCAGAAATAATTTTAGTCAAACCAGAAGGAGACAAAGATCAAAGGAGTAATGTGGAAATAAAGAAGACTATTATAAATCAGCTTGGAGCTATTAGAAACAAAATTAAGGTTAAGAGAATAAGGCAAATGAATCAAAGTGGTATAATCATTGAAGTCGATAATAAGCAAGATGTGGAGTTACTAAAGTTGAATTTAATAAAGTAGGTTTAAGAACAGAGAAGCCAAAGAGAGTTAATCCTTCGATCATTATTTACGATGTTGGGAAGGATTACCAGGTTGAAGATCTTAAACAAGATTTAATTCAAAAGATATTAGATGTTTTGTGCGGGATATCATCATCTTAGATATAATGGTTTAGAGAGGTATCAGAAAGGGATACTTTGATTAAAACTAAGAAGGACTTTAAATAATTATTTATATAATTATTAATTTGAATTGTACATAGAAGAACTTTATAAAATACGGAATCAAATGATTTTGGTATACAACTTGATATTACTCTGCTTAATTTGGTACGTGTACAAGTTGTGAGCAGTTACGTTGACGAATGAATTTTTCTGAATTGGCATATACTGGGGCAGTTTGACAGTCGCATGGTGGTTTTGTTGGGTATTTTTCTTTTACCTTAACGAGTGATTTGTCTAAAGCGTCCTTTGTTTCCGATATTAAATCCTTCTTTAAACTATTTGTTTGTTTATTTAATTTTATTTATTTATTTATCTAATATATTTTGTATTTTGCTTATACTGTTGTTCTTTGTTTCTATACATTTTTCATGTGTTTGTTCGTCTATTTGTTAATCTATTGACACAATGTATAGTAGAAGATCCGCCTCCACGGGGCAGAAATGGGGAACGTTGTGGTTGACTTCCGCGGCGGCTAAGAGACTTAAGAGAATAAATATGAATGAATGAATGAATAAATTAATGAATCTGCATAATGCAAATTCGATTAACATGATTCTGAAATAACTGTACCTAAATAGACGAAACAGTTAACCTAAATACAATAAACTTAAAATAATCTTTAAATACAATAAACTTAAAATGATCTTTAAAAATGTATAAAATGTGATAAAGTACGTTTGAATGTTTGAAATATTTTGAGATGAAAGATAATATATACTTTAAATATATGCTTTAAATCGGCTAAAATAAAAGAATTTAAAAGAAATAAAAGACTACAACATTAATGTTAATAAATTAGAATTTAAAATGTATGGAATAGAGGGATGAAAAGAAGAGTATACATTAAGATTTTAAATTTGAGATTCTTAGATGAAACAAGACAAGAACAAACAAGAAGATACGTTAAATTATCCCAATATACATTTAATTGAATTACATAAATGTGAAATTAGATGGCAATGAGTTTTTGCTCGAGCTGCAAAAGAATTTGTCGAAAAATGAATGAACGAATGAATGAATGTTCCTATCTATTATCTTTCCTACTATGTTTCCTACTACTATGTTTCCTACCTACTATCTAGCGAAACTGCCAAGGGAACGGGCTTGGAAAAATTAGCGGGGAAAGAAGACCCTGTTGAGCTTGACTCTAGTCTGATACTGTAAGGAGACATGAGAGTATAAATGGGAGATGGCAACATCGCCAGTGAAATACTACTATTTTCATCGTTTCCTTACTTACTCGTTGAGCGGAGCGCATACCCCGAGGGCTTCATGCCCCGGCGGTAGTAGTCATAGTGTTCTAGAGCTAAGTATTAGAGCGGCGTGAGACCTCGGCCGATCGCCATTAATACTCCAGCGTGATCCGATTCGAGGACACTCGTGGGGAGTTTGATTGGGACGGTACATTTGTCAAAAGAACAAAAGCTGACTTGATCTCGATGTTCAGTACGCATAAAGACTGCGAAAGCAGTCTTGGCCTATTGATCCTTTTGGCTTGAAGAATTTTCAGCAAGAGGTGTCAGAAGAGTTACCACAGGAATAACTGGCTTGTGGAGGCCAAGCGTTCATAGCGACGTCGCTTTTTGATCCTTCGATGTCGGCTCTTTCTATTATTGCAAAGCAGAATTCGCCAAGCGTCGGATTTTTCACTCGCCAACAGAGAAACAGAGAAGACTCGACATGAACTTTAGACCGTCGTGAAACTGGTTAGTTTTACCCTACTGATGATTAGTCACTGCGATAATAATCCTGCTCAGTACGAGAGGAACCGCAGGTTTGGACATTTGGTTCACGCACTCGGTCGAGCGGCCGGTAATGCGTGAACCAAAGTAGTGCGAAGTTACCATCCGTAGGATTATAGAGGAACGCTTCTAAGGCCGTATCCTCTCTAGATAGCAATGATGGCAATGATGATCAAAGATGGTAATGATATCTCCACGAGTCTCGTGAGTCAAAAGGCTCAAAACAAAACACTACTAGGCGGCCGGTCCACGGGCCGGTCGTCGCACGAGCCTGGTTTGCCATATGGCGTCATCGCCCATCGTCGGAATCCTACCAATATGACGATACAGCATCTAACGGTCGAACATGAGTTTCACGAGATCGATGTCAAGACTCGGAATCTGTCTATAGACGACTTAGGTACTTGGCGGGGTGTTGTACTCGGTAGAGCAGTTATCACGCTGCGATCTGTTGAGACTCAGCTTGAGACTCGGCTTGAGAATTCGTCTTGTTGGTTAAACGAGGCCCCACGCGCCCGATCCGCTCGCGGCGCACTGTCGTGCGAAAACAACACGCCGCAAACGGACTTTAACGCACGAACGGCCATGCGCGTCATGTCGTGCGAAAGCAACACGCCGCGAACGGGCTTTAACGCACGAACAGCTGTGCACGTCACGTCGTGCGAAAGCAACACGTCGCGAGGGAACTTAACGCACGAACGACTGTTCACGCCACGTCGTGCGAAAGCAACACGTCGCGAGCGGACTTCAACGCACGAACGGCCGTGCGCGCCACGTCGTGCGAAAGCAGCATGTCGCGAACAGACTTTAATGTTTGCGAAAGCAACACACTGCCAGCGAATTTTAACGTGTGCAAAAGCAACACGCCGCGCGCGGACTTTATCGTTCGACCCAGTCGGAGGTATCGCCCGAGCGAGCATCCGAAAGTATCGCCGAGAGTGAAAACAACATGCCGCACGCGGATTTTATCGTGCGAAACCGTCGGAGGTATCGCCCGAGCCCATCGAAGGTATCGCCGAGCTCGTCGGAGGTACCGCCGAATCCGTCGGTGTTCCTTAGGTCCGTTTTTGGCCGTCTGGACGCCCGATTTTGTTTGAGGTTATCTCTTTTTATTCGACGCATCTCGTATGTGCGGTCGTTGCGTCGCTGTCGACCCGTTCGGATCGATCGTCATAATCGGATCGTTCACAGCGATTAAGTCTCGTGCGCCTCATCTGACCGACGCTCGCGCCCATAAGCGGCCATGCGTAAGGCCGTCCGTCGCCGACCACTTGGCCGGACGATTAGGTACTGTTGCGACGGAATAGCGGCTAAAATCATATCACAAGACGCCGCCTCAGACGTATCTCAAAAAGACACATGTCGCGGCTCTCTTTGTATTCTTGCCCTTGTTTATATCGTCGAGCCTACGTTTCGCGGCTCGAGGAACTTCGCGACAAGGACAGAACGCCGCCACAGGATCGGGCTGTGATTGGCTGGATTGGCCGATTTTGTTATATATATAAGCTCGCATCTGAATAAGATCAGATCGAGTTTGACGAGCGTAGTACACGGATCCGTGCGATAAGAGATAGTACACGAGGCCGAGTCCTCATTCAGTTCTGCGCTCAGCGAGGCCGAGTCCTCATTCAGTTCTGTGCTACGCGAGGCCGAGTCCTCATTCAGTTCTGCACCAGCGAGGCCGAGTCCTCATTCAGTTCTGTGTTACACGAGACCGAGTCCTCATTCAGTTCTGTACTACGCGAGGTCGAGTCCTCATACAGTTCTGTGTCACGCGAGGCCGAATCCTCGATCCTTAACGTGTGAGAATAATATATTCAAAAATAGTATTCAGGGTAACCTCCCGTCTACATCGTGCCTGCAACGATTTGCGGGGCGTGACAGGTACTATAAGAGGTGCGGTGCGCTCAGCGACCGGACGTTACCGGATTATCGTGCGGATGCGTTTGGCATGCATCGCACGTTCAGTACGATGTGTCACGGCTCTCCTGAGTCGTGCCATTAGAAATTATATTTTTAAACACAGCAATTTTGCCACGAGTTAGCGTTGTAAGATCGAATAGCTCCTATGTGGCGCGCACTGTTTATCAGTATTAATTGCGCGATCTTCCCTCATTCGTAAACGAACACGGAAATCGTCGCTTACCGAGCACTTACTGAACTCCTACCGAGTGCAGAAAATGAGAGATCGCTCTTCACGCGTACTTGTAAATCGTAGCAAAAATTTTTGACCGTGCTTAAACGAACCGACGATTCATTCCTCGGTGTCTAAGCATCACGCCGTCGATCTAGCGTCAGGACGAGGCGGCTATACGCCGCTACTTTGGGAGAATGAGAACAGCATGATCTTTATAACAAATATGATCTTTATAAGATAATTTTAACGGAGTAGAGCTCCAAGGAGTGTTTATCTTCAGCTGTATATATATTGTGATAGAGAGTGTCGCCGATCGGTTTGAGGCGACAATAATAGCACGTCGAGAGTATCTCGAAACGAAGGACGCTCGTCACATTCACGGACGTGATAGAGTGCGCGTCGTTCCACACGAGCGACCGAACTCACGAAGTTCCCTGGTTGATCCTGTCAGTAGTCATATGTTTGTCTCAAAGATTAAGCCATGCATGTCTCAGTCGAATGAAACCGCAAATGGTTCATTAAATCAGTTAGATTGCACCCACATTTTCTTGGATAACTGTGGTAATTCTAGAGCTAATACATGCAAAACAGAGTGACTGAGCCGACCAGTGATGAGAGGGACACTTTTATTAGATCAAAATTAATCGGTGGCGAGCGGTCTCTGTCCGTCCACCGTTTTAGTGACTCTGAATAACTTTATGCTTATCGCAGGGTTTTTAACACCCACGACGCATTTTTCAAATGTCTGCCTTATCGACTGTCGATGGTAGGTTCTGCGCCTACCATGGTTGTAACGGGTAACGGGGAATATACATGTATATATGTATATTGTGATATATGTATATATGTGTATCATTGTATTGTTGACGTGTTATTTTAAACACGTTATTTGCAATAAATATCATCACATGCCTAGGTAGTCGAAAAGATAAGATGCCTGCCCGATAAAAGCAGGAGATCCAGGTTTGATTCCAGGCTGAGATGGTATTTTTTCGCAAA